GGAAAACCGATAATTTCTGAGATGATCAAAAAATATAAACCTTAAAATAATATCATATTGCTGTCTTTCTAGGCTAATAATATATTGTCGACTTTCTAGGTTAATAATACACCGTTGTCTTTTCAGGCTAATTTTACGATCGCTAAAATAAGCCAGAAATGAAAATATTTAATTGAGTAATCGATTTATTTATCTTTTCAATAGTTTATGTAAATATTTCAAAAGAAAACAAACATATGTCCAAAATTTGTAATCATTAAAATATAACGGAAATTTTGCTGTTACATTATAATGATATAATTAGTAGTGCAATATTTATCTTAATTAGTAGTACGATATTTACCGTAATTAGTAGTACGATATCTAATCGTAATTAGTGGTACGACATTTAATCGTAGTAGTACGATATTGAGTCATAATTAGTAATGGGATATTTATTCTCCTCCATACCAATTTTAGATGTATGATTTTTTCGGATTTAATTTGACATAAAGCATACTGTATTGTATTATCCTGATTTCATACTGTATTAGCATACTGTATTATGTTGATTTCGTATTTGTATATGTATTGGGAAATTTTTCAAATCGTTATTATGCTGCGAAAAATGTTGAGTAAAAGAGAAATGATGGAAGGATAAACAATCTTTGTTAATTAAACAATAAGGAATTTTAATTTGTCAAATTTAGTCCAAAATTTAGCCAATCATTAAAATGAGTCGGAAATAAAAGTATATAATTGAGTAATCAATTTGGTTATTATTTAGATGAATTAAGTATTTCGTATAACAAATGATTAATTTGATTTTTGCGAAAATGGAAAAAAAGTTAACTTAAATTATTGAATAATATTTATAGAAATAAAAGAAAATATCAATTTGATATAATTAAATTCAATTAGTTGCTAAAAAAGAATCGATATACAGAATTTGATATATTTCTTTAAAAAAAAAAAATCAAAACTTTTTTTTACAGATTAAAATTCGCAAAAACGAAAGAAAAAATCGTACTAAAATTCATTATGATTTCCTTTTTCATTAAAAATATTTTAGATATTTTGTAAAAATTTGAAAAATTAATTATTAAAATTAATCGCATAGAAAGATTTGTATGAATAAATTAATCATAAGAATTCATTCAATAATTATTGCACTGTTTTTCTCACATATCATTTAAAAAATTTGTAAAAAAAAAACATTCCTTCCTTTTTTTTTTCTCAGCAACATTTTTAATATCATAAAAATTCAATGTGCGATATCATATTAGTTAACATTTCGAATATTTACCTATCAAATTTAATTTGCTATATCA